TATTATTTATATAATCAGCAAATATATTTTGGGGGTTTTTATTTGACTCGAGTTGAGTCGAGTCAAATTTAAGTATATCTCGAGTCGAGTCAAGTTAGAGTTTTAAAATTTTTTGACTCGACTTGACTCGACTCAAATTTTTTGAGTTGAGTCGAGTTATCTTTAAAACTCAACTTGACTCGACTCATTAGGAGATCTAAGAATGGCTATATAAATCAGTGTAATTCTTGGTATCAGACAGGTTAATTCCTAGTCATGTTTGATATTATCATTTAGATTTGAGTCAAAATAGTGTAGAGACTTAAATTTGATAGTTAATTCATATAACTAAAATGGATTTGCAAGCAGACAGGAATCCTTTCTGGATATCTTTTAGATTTTTATCCTAAAACACTTCTTTTTGCCGTAGTTAACTTGTTATTTTATATACATTATATTTATAAGTAAAGTATAATATACAATATTAAAAATTAATTATATATTAACTAACCAAATAAAACATCTTTACCTGAGCTGAAAAAGGATGTTAAAGTATATTTCATTACTAAAAATATAAGTATTAAAATGATAATTTATTCATTGATTCCTATTGACTATCTACCAATAAATCAAGAAAGAGTTGCGATTATTTATCATGTTGAAGGATAAAATAATGTAGAAGCTGTATTTACAAATATAAAAATTAAATAATTATATTATAAATAAAAAATAATATAATATAATAATTAATTTCATTTATTTTTTAGATCCAATATTCTATGGGAAAATCTTGTAATCAACATAATTCAACTTGTATTTATCTTGGTAATATTGGTGTAGTTAAGAAAGAAAAAACATGTCAAAGAGTTAAATTATGTGAATTTGCAACTCCAGAGCTTTTGGAAATTAAGCACGAAATAATAAATTCTGAATCAGATTTGTGTTTAAAAGTAAATAATGAAGTATCAGTTAATAACATAAAAAATAATACTTTTGCATAAGTAAAGTTATATATGTTATATAATAAAAAATTAATTATATATAAAAATTTATATTAATTTTATTTTATTTATATAGTGTATATTTAACAGCAATTAAAACTAAATGCTGGTACATGCAAAATGAAATGCAATATATTAGAAAACCTGTTTTAAAATGCTTACGATGTCATAATGAAACAATTTTGCTAACTTATTTTATTGGTTGTATAGGATGAAAAATTAATAAAAAATTTCATTGTTATATTAATATCAAAGAAAATATTGATCTTAATTTGCTCTATCAACTTTTAGATGGATTATACGAGACTAATTATTAATTATAATTTTTGTATTAAAATTTTTATTTTTGATTATTTTATTTAATTTAAATTATTAGGGTGAATTGAATGAACCAACTAATAATTAATTTATAGTATTACATAATAGCTCAAAAAAAAAACACTTTGTTGTAAGTTTTATTATAACATTTAAATTTTTAAATTTGTTTATTTGTAGCACATTCTTATCATGAAGACAATACAATTAAACAAGGATTAATAATTCAAAGAGTATATAATGTTAAATATTCTAAAATAATTCCAATTGATATAGAAAAATGCTTATATATAATTCTTATATCAAATTTACTTTTTTAATTACTTTTTGATTTTCTTTATAAGTATCTATTAAATTAATAAAAATAATATTAAAAATTTAAAATTTAAAAATAAATAAATTAATAATTTATTATTTATAATTTATTAATTTCTTTTACATATTATAGTTATTACTTTTCTTTTATTTTACTTCTATTTTTTCTAATATAAGGAACTTCAAATTTATCATGAGTCTCTATAAAAAGTGGAAACCAGCAAAATAAAGTAAATTAAGCAATAATATGAAACTTTTGGAAATACTTTATCTGTAAATTTAAAAAATAAATTTATAAAGTTTGAAAGAATTACAATATAAATTAAGTATTATTTACAAACAAAATCTAGTTTACCAAGATTTTCATATTGGAAATATATTAAAATCTTTCATCTAGTCTCCTACCTCTAAAAAATTAAATAATTTAAAGTTTAAATCAAATAAATAAATAAATAAGTTAAATAATAAAAAATGCAATAAAATCAAACCATATAATTACTGTAAAGAGTTTTAGCTGCTTTTCTTTTTGATTAGTTTATGCATATACAGCTTCAGTAATATTGGTATCATTTTCATATTATTTCTAAATCTTATTTGAGATATGCTTATTTAATGATATTAAAATATAAGGTTGGCGATAATATTGAATCCAATCTATTATAATAAATAAATTTTAATTAAAATTATAAAAATTATAAATTAAAAAATACCAATAATAATAAAAAACTACAATACATATTAATTACATGTTGATCATTATAGAATTCAATTATTTCAAAACATTTATAAACTTCTTTAGTATTAGATTTAGATGGAATTGATGCAGCTAATAAATAAATATTATGATTAAATTTTTTAGCAATTAGATTACTAAAAAAAATAAACTTTATTAATTTAAAAATTATACTTTACTGATTAAAATGAATCAAGCATGACTTAAAAATATAAGTCAATTGTATTTTCCAATTTTTACTAGAATCTCTTTTTGCTATAGTTAAACCCAATCCTTTTACTTATCTTACATCAAGGTCTTTAAGAATACACTTTCAACCTATACCATTAATATATAGAAATTTTACAGGTATTTCACTTTAGGGATGCTAATGATTATGGTCATGACCAGTTATAATCAGTATAACTGTAACTGATATTGATCAGTTAAAGTCTTCTAACTAACCTATTGACTGATTAATTTTAACTGATTTTGATTAACTGATTTTAACTGATTGATTTTAATTGATTTTGACTGATCAGTTAACTAATGATTTTGGCTGACTGGTTTTAACTAATTTTGACTACAAAAATATAAATGATTATAAAGAAATAATAAAAATTAGATAGATATGATCTAAAGTTATTATACTGAAAAATAAAAAAAATTAATTTTAAATATAACTTTCTGAAATATGAAAGAAAAATAAGAGCCTAATTCATTTTTTTTTTAATATTTTAGACTTTTCTATATTACAAATTGTAATATAAAATATTACTAATGAAGTATAATTGTAAAGCAAATAATTTATTTTTTTTTAATTTAAAAAAAAAGTTAAGCATTTTTTGTAAAGACCCAAACCAAAGCCTTCCAGAATTATGGAATCCTACAAATCAAATAAAAATAAGTAATATCCATATTTTTCTTAGAAATTAAAAAAAATTAAAATTGAAAAATTTAACTTTTTTTGTAAAGACTGAGCCATATAGAATCTTGAAATTTTACAAAATGAACAAATGTAGATAATTTTTTAAATTAAAATAAAATTAAATTAAAATTAAAATTAAAAAAACTCACTTTCTTTTATAAATGCTGAAGTCTTAGAATCAAAAAAAGGTAAGTAATTATTTTTTTTCATAATTAAAAAAAAAAAATTAAAATGAATTCTTATCTCTTATTATAGATGCTAAAACCTTCTAGAATTCTAAAATCAAAAGATAAGTATTTATTTTTTTTTGAATTTTTAAAAAATAAAAAATTTAAAATTTACTTATCTTTCTTATAGATACTAAAGTCTAATCTTATAAATCAAACAAAAGTAAGTTATTTTTTTCTTTTAATTTAAAAAAAAAAAAATTAAATTATATTTTCTTATCTTTTTTTTGTAGATGTCAAAGTCTTCTGGAATACTGGAATCTTATAAATAGAATGAAGGTAATAATTGTTTTTTTTTTAATTTTATAAAAAAATTAAAATTTACTCTTTTTTTTTGTAGATGCTAAAAATTGGAATCCTACAAATCGAAAGAAGATAAGTATTTATTTTCTTGTTTTTTAAAAAAAAATAATAATTTACTTATCTCTTTTTGTAAATATTAAAGATTGTTATAGATTATTAACAAATTTTGTTAACGAAACTTATAAGTGAATTGTTACCAATCAAAAATTCTAATTGAATAATAATCATCAATCAGGTATTAAATTGATTGATAACTAATTATTAATTAAAACTGATTTGTTACTATTTAATATATAGTTATAAATTTTTTTAAAATATTAAATCTTACAAATTGTAAGAAGATAAGTATTCATTTTCTTTGACCCTATGAAAAAAAGTGTACATGTTTGTTTTATATTGATTTCGTATAAGAGTATACTATAATCATATAGTTTTATGTAGTTATTTCAATTTTTTATACAAAAATAATTGTACAGAAATTTTAATGTAAAGAAATTGTATAGAAAAAAATTTGAAATTTGAAATATATAAAAATTGTATTGAAATTGTATTGAAAATTAAAACATACAGATTTTATATAGTTTGGTATTTTATCGACGTATGGAAAATTTAATATTACTAAAATTGGATAAATTAAATTAATTAATTTTTATAAAAATTGCAAATAATAATAAACTGAGTTTAAAATCTTTCTTATTATTAAAAGTAAACTTGCAGAGCAAATAAAAATACTATCTATGATAATAAATTCAAGTTAGAAAATATCATACAAAAGCTATATCGAATAGTATAGTTGATTTTTCTAATTCAGATGTTGTAGGAAAAATGTGCTAAAAATTTGAACGTACAGGTATTAGGATTATTTCATATTTTGACATCTGCACTATCCAAAAATTGTAATGTTTTTTTTGACACAAAAGATACACAAAAACTGTATAGGATTTTTTTATAGGATTTAATTTAAAAAAAAATTAAAAATTTACTTACCTCTTTTTGTAGATGCTGAAACCTTCTGGAATTCTGGAATCAAAAAAAGATAAGTATTTATTTTCTTTGAATTTTTAAAAAAAATTAATTATCTCTTTTTGTAGTAATGAAAGAGATAGATAATAAATCCTTGAATTCTATTCCTTTATATATGTTATTTTTTTTATTTTTTTATAATAAAAAATAAAAAACCAGTTTTTACAGACAAAGACCGAAATTTTTGATCACTATAATTTTATTAATAGCGAATACTATGTAAATGATGAGCCAAATAAGATGATTAACAAAGGTTAAAATTTAAAAATTTTTTCTTTATTGTGTAATAAAAATAATTTTTTTTTTGTAAATCAAACTGATTTATATAATAAAAACTTCTGAATCAGTATATTTGAGTTGTATTATCAATTAAAAATGAATAATTTTAGCTTTTATAAAAGAAATTACTTTTATGAATATAATTTTTTTAATTAATAATTTATTATAAGTAAAGATTACCCCTAAATTTAATATTAAAACTATTAAGAATATAAATAATACTATTAATTAAAGTTGAATTAATGGCTAAGTTAATCTTGCAAAAATTATATAGAATCAATTCCAGAATTTTTAAATGGCTAAGTTGTCTCTAAATTGCTATTTTAATATCAGAGCATAATTAAATTTTCAAATAAAAGTTTCTGCTAAATAATTCTGATAATTGTCTTTCTGATAAAAACTTATAATTATTTCCTTTTTTCAATATTAATTAAAATTTTAAAATTTTATTTATTGTGTTTCTCTTTCATATATCTTCTTTTTATTATATTTATTCTTTTTATACAAATAAAAGCTTCCAAATGATAGAAAAAGACATGGTCCCAAAATTATACCAATTATAGCTAGTATTGATAGCTTTGTTGATGGATTTGTTGAAAGTGTAAAATCGTTTGTCCATATATATTCTTCATTATTACTAATATCAAGCAATAAAATATCATCATTGAAGTCACTGCCATCTTCATCATAACCTATACCTATTAATTTAAATTAGATATTAAAATATTTTAAATTAAAGTAATTCATAATTAACCAATTATTTTAATTAATTTATATAACAAAGTTGACATAATTACCAAATGATATAACCATGTATTTTCCAATTATATGAGCCTCATGGAAACGTCTTGACTCTGTAGGATTTTTTCCAGACGTTTTTGGAATAGACCATTCAAAATTTGTCAAATTTAAAACAAAAAGTGCATCTGGAAGCAAAATAATTTTTTTCTGATTTGTTCCTCCAAAAATTATTACTTGTTGTCCATCCAAACCTTTAATTAATTACAATCTCATTGTTATTGCTAATAAAAATTCTAAAATTCTATGCATATATTATTTTTTTTTTTACTTACTAAGGACAGTAGAAAAAGCACATCTATCCGAAGGAATAGTACCTGAAGTTGTCTAGTGTAAAATTAATAAGTAAACTTTTAATTATTTAAAAAATTTATGACTAGAAAAAATCATCAATAAGACTTGCCTTTGTACTCCAATTATCATTTATCGTATCATATAGGTATATCTAAGGTTGCATTAAATTTTAACTTTCAGCATTTGTAATTTATATATTTATATATTATATAATTAATAAATCACCTCTTTTAATGGAAAAGGTACATCGCTATCATCTTTAGAGCCACCTATTTAATCAACTAATATAAGATAATGTTGTTTTACTAATTACAATATAGATTGATTTTACTTACCAAAATAAATAATGAAATTATTTGGAACGAAGGTCGCACCATAAAGAATCCTTTTTATTGGAGCATTATCTAAACTTCCCATGTTCAAATTCAAATTTATTGTATCCAAAATAAGCATATCATCATAAAAAGTTATTCTATCTTTATCATTTCCACTGAACAAATACATCTTCCCATTATCATCAACTATGCCTTTTACATTATGTTTTTTCTTGATATTATCTCCATTTCCAACTAATGTTGGAATACTCCATGAATTACTTTTTGTATCAAATGAATAAACTAATTCCAGATCGCCTTTATCATTTTTTCCTCCATATAAAAACAAAATATTATTATATGCACCACCTCTGACAGATGCAGCGGCACGATGCGCAGGAATAATGTTAATTTCTGTTAGGTCATGCCATAATATATTTTTAGTATTAAATGGAATAGAAACGTCAAGATAAAAAAATTGTGTTCCAATATGTTCATTGTTATTAGTTTCAGTAACTCGACCACCTAAGATGTAAAGTTTATTATCAATAAGTGTAGCAGTATGAGCATATCGTTTTAATGGCTTGAAAGACACCATTTGGCAATTTACTTCGATTACCAATCGAATTATAACAATATATATCGAATAATTCTTTAAATTAAATGTGTGATCATGTTATTGATTTTTATTAAAAAAAAAAATAATCGTTTTATTGTTTAAGCCGCATTATATTTGTTACAATTACGGGTTACATTGCATTTGCAGAGATTCTTTCACTACGTGTGTGTAACATTCAGAATACAATCTGCAGATCAAATTTTTGTCATATATAAATGTTTAAAATTCACTATATCTATCAAGAATCTCAGTGCTGTAATAATATCTTGTGTAATGTTTCACATTTTCCAATTTAACGTATCGAGTTTATAAAATATCACGTGAATGATAATTTAATGGACGAAGAAAAAATTTATTTAAGTTGAATATTTTAATCAGTACAAAAATATAATATAGCACGCCTTTATTTTTACAATACTAAAGATTGAAGTATGGAAATTACGCAATATTTGAGAATCGTGAGGTTTTAGTAAAACCGTCAAAAACTAGTTAAATATTGATTTTTAAAGTTGTTCTGTTATTTATTACAATGATTCATTCACGATTTAACTGATACAGATCTATTTTATATTTCGATTTTGTTAACAGATAAATATGCTGCAATTCAAATGCCCGGACAAACTTTTAGATTCGTATGAATCAACGTACAATATGAATCATCCTCATAAATTCTTGATGATTTAACTATATACGATTTTTTTAAAATGCGATCACAATTTTTTAATGTGTTTAGTTTTTTCTTTGTGACAGTTCTTAGTGACATATTAAAAAAGAAGGTACTGTATATCGACGACATGGAGGAGTTCTATAGTTCCATTTCTTCGCAGATGTTTTAAATTGCATGTATTTAGGAAAATTATGTTCTTAGGTACTTCAAGACGTCTCAAACTTCTCAAATGATGATCCATTTTATTTAAAAGTTATTAAATTAGTTTTAAATCAGAGGACTGTGCCCGGCCAATCAAGAACTTTAATCTCAAACCATTACGTTTAAGAACATTATCCCGTTGGTAAAATTACTAAACGATAATGAGGTGGTAAAAATAGAGGGAATAATAAAGTGGAGGTAGCACGAAATATCTTTAGGCGTTATTCTCCCGAGAAGTTTATTTTCGGATAATTTCGGACGGTATTGGAGGGGTTAGGATTATATATGAGTTAAGAAATTTAGGAACATGTTCGGATTTTCATTAAATTCCGAAACGTTTAGGATTATGAATTGAGGTTAAATCAGGCTAAAAAGCTCATAATAAGATATCAGATATAGTAATTAATGAACGGTTAGTTAATAATTGGATCTTCAGTTAACAGTTAAAAATGAAAAAAAGCCAATGATACTATGCTAAAAGATTATATCAATTTAATATCGTTTGTTTAGTGTAATTTGGGTACTAATTAAATAGGGAAAGTTTTAGTCGTAGGCCATCATAAATACTTTCAATAAGCCAGATTATCTTTTATATGAAACATTATAACAAGTCACTAATGGTCACTAATCCGTGTTCTAGTAACTGCGCCAACTAATGAGAAAATAAGTTGATATCCTCGCGTAATTATATTACAATATTTATGGTACCAGCAGTTTATCTTGAGAATTTGCTATTAATTATTGTCATTAGAATAAAAACTAGTTATGAATTCGTCAAAGGTGGCGTTTGGATCGGTCTAGGGATGGTAACGTCCGGTCAGAGGCCTTTGACCGATCGACCGGTTATACTGATTGGTTGACCGCCCATTTAACAATAATATCGATAATTTTAATTTAATGGCATTTGCTAAACTTCCGATATTTTATATATTTTGCTTACTTCTTTTATGCTAACTCGATATGCATATTAAGTTTATCGAGTACTTATTTTAAAAAATAAATTAAAAATTTTATTTATAGAAAATTACATAACTAAAATGATTGTTAATTAAATATATTTAAATGCAAAGAATTCTTGGATTACGAATTAAAAAATGTTTGATCAACCGGTCGGTCGGTCAACCGTTCGGTTAGAAACCTTTTGACCGACCGATATCGGTTACGGTCATGACCGGTCATGACCGTAACTATTACCGTCACTAGATCGCTCCAAAAAGCTGTTTTTTAATCACCCTTTGGTCCCGGTACATAAGTCTGAGATCGGTCCTAAAATTAATTTCAAATGAGAGCCGCGACTCAGTCTTAATCGACTGAAAAGGGTCTAACGACTGACTGAGCTTACTCCAGAATTTGTCACGGTTGTTACTACTATCTTAATTAAATCTATGATCTGTAACGTTAAAATCGTTAAAATCACACTTTACTCGTAATTCAATTGGCGATTGACGAACAAGGATAACTATTATATATTGCTTTTTAATATTCACACTTGTAGAATTATTATAAACCACATATCCCAAAGATCGGTTCCATCCTGTGAATGATATAAGTTCTGTCTTACCGGCACAAATCAATTCGGTTCTTTATAAAAAAAAAACCCAAAAATTTTGTTAAATTAAATTTCGTAAACTTGGTCCTTAAAATATATATTTATGACGCAATGTCAAAATGGCGTACTAATGTGATACATTGTATAGAGAGTGATGGTTTTAAGAATTAAACAAAGAATAAAGGAGCTCGAATATTTAACGCTGCAATATTGGGATTTACATCTGGAGTTCCTTGCATTTCAATATTTACAAAGTGAATCATAATATATTATTTTATCATTGTGAATTTATGGCAGAATACAGTAGCCATAAACTTATTAAATATTCACCATGTTTCGAAAATATTAAATTTTTTATAATTTGTAATTTGAATCATTTTATTAAGTTTCAGTTAATTTTTTTTTCCATTTTATGTAAAACCGCATTCTTTGCTCTAAATTTTTAATCTTAAGGCATCATATTTCCAAAGGTATTTGTGAGACACAAGGACTACTTTTGGGTGTTGAGGATTAATCATCATTATTATTCTTTTAGTAAGTATTTTAATGATATCCGCTGATTTGATAATATCATAGATGAAAAACTATAAAAAAAGGTTTATTATTTTTTGTAAGTGCTTACCGAAAGCAATTGTAAACTATCATGGTCGTCATTGTCCATAATAAAATATAAATTACTTCTCTTACAAAAATATATGAGGAACACTTACATGACAAAACGTACTAAAAAACAAATATTTTAAATTTCTTAATAACGGAACACCTAGACGAATTTTTACGTTCCAATTCGATCAATCCTTACAAAAAAAATAGTTAAGGGTGCTCATTCTGGTTTTGATGATATCTTTTCTATACATTTTTTTTTATATTTGACCAGAGAGAATTTAACTCTTTACTTTGTTAAAACTAAAATTTATCTCAGTAATGTCTCATCTTGTCAACTGACTGGCTTTCATGGTGGTTAAGCTACTTCTAATTAAACATATGGGAGGCGGTCAGTAGAAAAGGGGGAAATCCAAAATTTTTGTTAATTTTAATTATTAAGCTAATTTTGTGCACATGACCAAGTGTCTGCAAAATATTTTTATCACGTGACATTATAATGAAAATCGTAATGGCATATACTTATAAAAATAAAAACCGGGTGACAATTTTAAAATTTTGTCACGAGAATCTAAAATTTTTTTTGCCCGGCCTAATCAAATATTTTTATTTTTATTTTTATATTACAAATATTTCTGTCTAATATTAATTTGAAAAAATGATTTTTTAAAAGTTAAAAAATCTTCAAAATCAAAATTATATCCAAGTTAAAATACTTAATTTTTTATATCAGAGACTTGATTTTTATAATGTCTGTTTCTAAATTTATTACACAAGATAATTATAGTGGACTTCCGATGCGGTATGTTTGACGATTCCATACTTGGAAAATCTGTATTTTACTTTTGGTAAAATTTTGTAAAATACTTTTTTTCGTTTCCTTATTTCTTAAATAATCAACATTTTCAATCTAAAAAAATGAAGTAATCGCTTTCGTATTGTACTAGAACATTTAGGTTAGATACATTATTAACGATCATTGTCAATCAGCGCTTCGGACGCTTTAACGGTGTCCGTTTCTTAATGTAAGTTACTTTTAAATTTTGTGTTCAGCGTTTTACGTAGGATTAAATTTATATAGCAATACATTTCTAATTCACAATTCAAAATTTTGTTAGTTAGTTCGAATTGCAAATGATCGACATACTCATTTCTGAAAACGGAGTGTGAATTTTTTATTATATTCTCAGCCAAACAATGTCGTGAAACACATTCTTAACAGAAAGGTCGTCATTTAATTTTTTTCGCAAAATTCTTTTTAGTTTAATAAATATAGAAATAAGGCAGAATAACAAATTATTTTATTAAAAAAGATCATATTATGGAAAGTGAAAGTAAAGCCGTGAATAATTTTAAATTGAAAATTAATTGTAATATAAAATTTATTCCCTATTATCAATTTAATTAATTGCCAATGATGGATTTTACAAAATCTATAAAGCTACTAAGGTCGGCCCTTGGCTTACTCTCATACAACATGATAATTCTTTAAGAATTACTTAAGAATTACTAAATGAGGTATTTGTCAATTAATTTTAATATACCGTATTATTTATATTAATGAACTTAATTACTATGATTTGTTCATTAAAAATTTTAGTTATATATGATAATAATTTGAATGAGTGTTGTGGATTTACTTAGGATTTAATTACAAAAGATTTTATGATAATTTTAAATCGTCATTGGAAATATTATATTAATTTATTGAATAAAAGTGGAAATATAATTGTGGATAATTTTATCAGATTTCAACAAAATATGATAATTTAATAGAATTTGTTCCTTATGATAAACTTGAAAATATTAAATATATTACTGAAGATGGAATTAACAAAATTTATAATGCTACTTGGATTGATGGTAATATTTATTATTGGAAGTATTACAACTTTTTATGAAATGGTTCTATAAATGTTATTTTAAAACAGCTTGATAATTCTTTAAATATTTCTTTTGAATTACTAAATGAGGTATTTGATCAATTAATTATAATATATTATATTAATGAATTAATTAATTATAATTTGTTTATTAAAAATTTTAGTTATGTAAGAATAGTTTAAGTAAGTGTTATGGAATTACTCAGGATTCTATTACAAAAAATTATATGTTTATTTTGGAGTTAGATTGGAAACATTATATTTATTTATTGTATAAAAGTAAAAATAAAGTTGTAGATAATTTTATAAGATATAAACAAATTAAAATTAATTGATAGGTTAATAGAATTTGTTTCTTATGATAAATTTGAAAATATTAAATATATTACTGAAGTTGAAATCAATATAATTTACAATGCTACTTGAAAAAATGGTTATATTTGTAATTAAAATTGTAATAATAATTTTATATGAAATAATAATATTCAAGTTATTTTAAAAAATTTTAATAATTCTTTAAATATTACTTCAGAATTACTAAATGAGGTATGTGTCAATTAATATTATATAAAGAAATAATCACAAATAATATCATTAAAATTCTAAAAATTTTAATTTTCCTTTCTTTAAAATGATGTCATTTTTAACTCTCCCTTAATATTGTAGTTATAAACTTAATTAATATAGTTTATTTATTATAAATTTTAATTATATAATAATAATTCAAGTGAGTGAGTGCTATGTAATTATTCAGGATTTTAATACAAAAGATTATATAATAATTTTAAGGTTTTATTTGAAGTATTATATTTACTTTTGCATAAAAGTGATAATAAAATTGTAGATAATTTTATTAGATATAAACAACTTGAAAGTTTATTAATTATTGAGTTAATAGAATTTGTTCCTTATAATAAATTTGAAGATATAGAATACGTTACTGAAGATGAGTATAATAAAGTTTATAAAGCGAATTGGATTAATAGCTATATTCAAAGTTGGGATGATGATAATTTTAATATTATACGAAATGGTACTATTCAAGTTATTTTTCAAAAGCCTTATAATTTTGAGAATATTTCTTATGAAAAGCAAAATGAGGTAAAAAATATTTTAATATATAAATATATTAATAGTCATTATTAATGTAGCAATTTTTTTTAAAATTATACTTAGTTATATGAGAATAAATTAAGAATTAGCAAATGTTTTGGAATTACTCAAGATTCTATAACAAAAGATTTGATGATAATTTCAAGTTTAAATTGGAAAAATTATAAGTATGATATAATAGATATTTTTTTATCTAAAAGGGGAAATATAGTAGTAAATAACTATATTAGATTTACATAAATTAATAATATTCACTTTTTTAAAATGATGGAATATATTTCTTATTCTCAATTTAAAGATATTGAATATATTGCTGAAGGTGAATGTAGTAAAGTTTATAAAGCTGTTTGGATTAATGGTAACATTCTTAATTGGAATAATAAGAATTAAAATTTCATACGAAATAGTTCTATGCAAATTGCTCTTAAACAACTTAATAAATTCTGAAAATATTATTTCTATAAAACTAAATGAGGTAAATTAATATGCATGATTTAATTTTATTTAACTTAAAGTATCAAATTCTAATTTAAAAAAATTATAGCTTATAGTTTTTTATAATTGTAATATGATAGCAGAATATCAAAATTTCTATATATAAATATATATTATAGAATTATCCAAAATCTTATTATAAAAGATTTTATGTTAATTATAAATTACTTTGAATCAGATTTAAAAAATTATATATAATAAGTTAAGTGAATATAATAAATTGAACAGATTAGTAAATATTATAAATGGAATTGAGAATATTCATAATACAGAAATTATTTATCGAAGCCTTCATAGTGGAAATATTCTAATAAATAAGTTTCCAGTAATATCTGATTTTAGATTATGTAAATCTTCAACAGAAATAACAGATGAAATTTATGGAATCGTTCCTTATGTTTCTCCAGATGTTTTTATAGGAAAAAATATACAACAGCTTCAGATATATATAGTTTTGGTATTATTATGTGGGAATTCATGATTGGTAGAAGGCCCTTTTATAATGAACCTCATGATGTAAAACTTATTATTAAAGTTTGAGATAGCATTCGACATTATTACAACTATACTTAAAGGCTATAATATATTAATGCAAAAATGCTGGGATTCTGATTTGAATAAAAGACCAAATGCATATAATATACGAGATGAAATCATTGAAATGATTAGTACTGAAGGGAATAACTTTGAGAGAAATCATAAAATTATCGAATATTGGACCAGTCTTGAATAATCCAGATGCAATCTTTATAAGTAGGCCTTTAAGCAATATGATAAAATCCGCAATATCAATTCAGAGTTTGAAAAGTGAATCAAGTATATTATAATTAGGTAAATAGTTTATTAATTAATAACTTGTTGTAATAAATTAATTTATACTAAGTCTGGAGCTAGGATCTTAACCTATAAAGAATGATAAATTGTGTATCACGTGATTATTTAAAATTTTTAATTTGATCAAAAAATAAATCAATACATGTAGCAAAAATACTTACAGAAACTCCTGAACTCCAAAGTAAGATGCCGATCATTACTCTCATTACACTTCGGGTTTAGCGGTATAATTTATTTTGAGTTTAGCAGTATAGTTTAGCTGTATAGTTTTTGTTTTGTTTATTTGAGTTTAGTATAAAATGTAAATAAACAACGTGCTATTTTTACTAATTTAGAATTTGTACTGATTGACTCAATTATTAAGCGGAGGAATGCGGATATTTGAGTCAAATAGTGTATAGAATTATATAGTCATTCATTACGCTCCATTCTAATTACTATCAATTTACTGTTATAAAGGTAAAAGAAAGGTTGAAGATAATTTTAGTGAAAAAAATAAAGTTATTAAAAGAAATAAATTATCTAAAGGTAAAACTTATGGTAAATATTTTATTTATCGATATATTATAATAATTTATTAGTAATATGTATATTTTTATTAGGTTATGAGACAAAAGAATTTGATTTCAATACGATATATAATTTTGAAGCATATTTCGAAAATTTTTTTTTTATTTTTCTTAATGCAATTTAGAGAATAGTATACAAATGACTTTATTCAAGGAAATTCCTCTAAATATTATTTCTAAAAATATATCTTGAAATTCTATTACTTTTTTACAAAATTATTCAATCTTTACATTTCTATCTATAAATTTATTTAGTTTAACATACTTATAAAAGCAATTTAATAAATCAACATTAAATAATTGCAAACCTCATTTATACAATTGGTACTTATTTAATAATAATTTTAAATACCTTTTTAATATTATCTCATGTGTTCTCTAATTGGATAAAGCAATTTCATGATTCTCATATTTAATTGCCAAGTATATTTAAACTTTGCGTATTACATTACTTTGTTTCAATTTAAACATAAATAATTAACTTCCATTGAAGAAATTAAAGATTAGGTAAAATGTTATTCATTAAATAAGTAATTGAGAGCCATTATTAAAAGTTTGTGTGAATTTTATATTAAAAATAATTTTGAATTATAAATTCTATAAAAAGCATCACACGTGAATTAATGATAAATGCAAAATTTCTAATATTTTTTTTTCCTGTAATAAGATAGATTTTAACACAAAGGAAAGTTAACACAAAAATAAATTCTGTGTTAATTGATCAACAAATTATGATGAAATTATAAGAATTGGAAAAGTTATACTAGTGTAGTTGCAATTGAACATCAAAATGGTTTCAAAAATATTGCTAAAAAAGAAAGATTAAATAAATATTTTCCGACTTATGATGATCTTTATTTGCAGTGTTAGCCGGAGAGCTGGAAATAAAACTAGACGATATAATTCAGTCTGTCGAATTAATCACAATAACTTTATCACAATTACGTCTGTTTGAAGATATGGCAAAAGGTAATAATAAATGAATAACAAATATCTTTATTGAACTCTTGGTTTATTTACAAAACCCTATCTTGAGTTATCTTTTAACTCAAGAAAAAATACATGCTATTTATATAAGATAAACTAATAGTAATGTAATAAGATAAATATATCCAATATAATAACTAAGATAAATATAATAAATAATATATAATTAATAGATATAACAAATATGACAAATCTAACAAATAAGATAAATATGATAAATATGATAAATCGGTCAAATATGATCAATTGGTCATATTTGTCAACTAAGTCAAATAATAATTTGTAGATCAATTTTGATGATCTTTTAATAATGTTAATTTTGCAGTTAACAGCAGTTCAGTCAATCTTCTAAACCTTCAAAATGTCAATGAACATGTAAGTTTTTGCAAGAATAAGACGTCTATAAAATAATTTTAACCACTTTTAAGCAATGTAATGATGCAAAATAATTATCTCATTTACTATTTTGATATAATCTTTAAATAACTTGGTCATTTAAGGTTATTTGTCATACAGTACTGGCCAAGTTAAACTTAATACTAAGTTAAAGTTAGCCAGAATTAGAACAAAAATTAAGAAAATTAAGATAGTAAACCAGAATTATAAGACCACATGATAGGATTTCTTTAAATGACTAGATCATTTACTTTAAATAGCTTTCAAATAACTATTCAATTGTTATTTCATTTGAAATACTTGTCAAAAAGAAAAAGTGAAAAGTATATTTAGTTATAGTTTTCATTTTAGGATGAATTTCGTACGAATTCAGCTTTATTAGAACTTCTTTTTTTTCTATATAATTGATAATATTTTTTTACGATATGTCAACATTGTATCACATTATTTGTCATGCATGCATCATTTTGCTATATAAGGTTTTCACACATGGTTTTTTTTTAGTATAAAGTGACAGATTTTATTATTTTTTAAAAAATATAGGGATAAATTGCTTTAATAAAGTAGGCCTAAACCGAGTTTGAGCACAAACCTTCATTAACAAGTTTAATATCTGTTATAAAGCTTGTTTAATACTTTGTTAGCATATGCATTGCTTCAATTATGCTTCAAAAGTTAATTCAAGTGCATTTATTTAAGCGTGTACGCCAAATAGCTTCTTTTAAAATAATAAACAGATTTGAACTAACTAGCTTTGATATAATAATATCCCTAGAAATTATCAATCTTTTATAATTTATCCATTTATTATAGAGGGGAATCATTTAAAAAAATCTGTAAGAATAAAGTTCGTAATTCAACTATAATATGAACATATAAAGAAAAAAATTAAACCATGGAAATGGCAAGAGGATTTGTCAATGGTAGATACAAATACTAGTTTAATATTATACTTTCCTTAGTCATTATGGTGCCAGTAGTTAGATGATCAACCCTGTTTACATTTAATTCTATACCACATTATAACACCAGGTATTTTCACTGACTCTTGGAAAGATTTTAATCATATATTTCAATAATCTTGCTGAACCTCTTCAAAATGAAATTACACTGCTGGGCCGAAGGATGTTGAAGAAATAAACGAAATATTAGACGAAAAGTTGAAAAATAAACAAGGAATAGAATGGCCAAAGGATTTGTAAATGGTATGTACCAATATCTATTCAATAGCATACTCATCAGAAATTTCATGTGCCAGTAGTTAGACCTATCCAGCTTTATAACCCTGTTTATGTCATTTAATTCAATGCCATATTACAACATCAAATACTTTCATTGAATTTGTAAAGATTTTAATTATGTAGTTCATTTATGTTCAGTTAAACCTAGAGGTTGGAACCGGCCTAAAAATTCTTATTCAGTAACCGGATATATTTTAACTCATGGCAGCTCAATAAATTTAGGCAGAACTAGAGAAGTTTTGTAATCACAAAGAAATCTTAATTCTGTCCGAATATTAAATTTCAGCCAGAGTTAAATTAAATATTTTACGGTTAAAGATTAACTGGTTCCAACTCTAGTAATATCTCCTCGAAACGAAATTTAAACTGCTGGACCGAAAGATTTTGAAAAAATAAATGAAGCGCAAATTTTGCTGGATGGTTTAAAGTTTTGAAGATACTAACGAAGACATGTTTTCTTGAATGGCAAGATATAGAATATGGTGGAAAGAAAAGTTTAATGAAAATATTCCAGTTGATTTTTTTGGAAAAATTTGCAAATATATTCATTGTAGTAGTTACATAGGAAATGAAATTTATAAAAATGATATTATAAAATTTATATTTACGATTATTTCCATCATTACCCGCAATCCATATTAAATCATTTCTAATTTATTTTATACTATTTTTACAAGTTTTTATATCTCTATAACTATCGTTATATTTAAATAATTATTCATTTCATTATTCCATATATTTAATTTACAATTGTAATTTATAAATTTAATTTGTTTATTTTAAATTTCTTAAATTTTTCTTTTTTTTTTTAGAGTATATCCATTATACAAGTCTGTTTGCGAACTGTTGCAACCTTATGGTAACAACCTTTACAAGATATACAATCTGAGAGAATTCTTATTTAGTAAAAGAGTGAAAATTTTTTATTATGTGAAATAGATGTAATTGTTATAGCCCAAACGTCACCATGTTCCAAGTTAAACTTGGGATATCCCAAATCAAAATTCCTATTTCGGACTTCTCAAATTGCAATTTCTAATTTGGGATGATCATGTCCCAAACTTGACTATATCTCAAATTGACCTAAGTAGATTTGGAACATGATCAGGTTTGGTGAATCAAATATTCCAAACTTGACCATATCTCAAATTTACCTAGATCAATTTGGAACACGGTCAGGTTTTGAACATCAGATGTTCCAAACTCCAAATTAACCTAGATATATTTAGGATACAGTCAGGTTTGTATATCCCAAATTGACCTAGGTAGATTTGGAACATAGTCAGGTTTGGTGAATCAAATGTCCCAAACTTGACCATATCCCAAATTGACCTAGGTATATTTGGAACATGGTCAGGTTTGGTGAATCAAATGTCCCAAACTTGACCATATCTCAAATTGACCTAGGTAGATTTGAAACATGTTCTGGTTTGGTCTTGTATGTCCCAAACTCAACCATGTTCTAAATTGATTTGGGATATGGTCAGGTTTGGGGTATTAAATGTCCCAAACTTAACCATACCCCAGATTCAATTTGGGATATCCCAAGTTAGATTTAGGATATGATTATTCAAAATCGAAATTCCAGTTTGGGAAGTCCAAAATAGGAATTCCAATTTGGGATATCCCAAGTTTAACTTGAGACATAGTGACGTTTGGGCTACAACATCGATATCAATTTACAAAATATTAAAATTTTACTATTGTATACTTAATTATGAAACAAATACCATACATCTATTTTTATTAAAATAAATTACTAAATATTCACTTTGCTTCGTATGTTATAAATGTATATCTGAATATAAGAAACGTCATGTATTAGTCAAATCAATCGTGTATGAAAATATATCAAACGTTATTAAAAATTAAATTAGAAATGATAAATTTTCGGAACATAAATCGAAAATAGGAAATAGGAAAATCCCGATAATCGATGATCCTATCCCATGGGAACAGGCCAAAATTTCATCACCAATTTCAAGACGAAACAAAACTTTATATAGTCCAGATGTATTGTTATTTCGTAAATTAAATTTCACCGGTGTATTAAATTTGTTCCAGGACCAGCGGGACAAGGACTTCCTTGTACAGCACAAAAATCCATACTTTTCGCTAAAGATCGCGTCCCCATCACCATTACTAATCCCAAGGCGTAACATGGTAACTTTCCAGAGACTGTAACAGTCTCAGTTTTTCCAAAAGCGAGAGGTAAAGGTGAGAGTTTATCGTTAAATTTTTCCAGAAATTTTCCTTTACATTCTGTAAACTTTGATGCTTTTATTTTTTTAAAGTTGACTGGGAATAGATTGGACAGATGAAAGAGAAATCAATAAAAAATGGGCAAGAAAACCAAAATTTGTTTCATGATTTCGATTTTTTTTTCTTGATTGTTTGGGAATTTTATTTTATTTTATTTTATTTTTTGTTACTTTGATTAAGATTTTATTGTGTACTTGATCTTTTGAATATGGATCAGAAAGAATTGAAATCGTAGCCTTTATATATAAGGTTTTCAAATCAAGAAAATTTTGATTAACTTTTTTAGTATTAAATGAATTTAATGAATTTAATAGTTCTTCAAATTGCGAGGTGATAGATTAGAATAATTTTGGCAGGGGTCTTCGGCTGAAATTTCAGTCATGAGATTTTCAGATTCCAGAAGTTCATAATTGATTAAAGCCAAAAAAACATAACAAAATCATCCCGGGTTAGTTATATATACTAAGCGAGGAAGTGAAATTTTTTATTCACATGCATTGTAGATTATCAATTTCTCAAAAGCGCAGTAATGTGCAATTTAAGAATTCGCAATATTATCATGCTTTGTCTTCAACTAAATTTTTTCACTAATTTTTTTTAGTCCCATCACTGCCATTTGGGTTTGTATTTTACATTATATAAACTTGTATGTAAAATTACATAAATTTTCTTTTTCTTGTAAAAACCTCCCAATAATTATCACTAGAAACTCAAACGATCGTTCATAACAATTATTATCCCCTGATTGGCACCATTTACGTAATTATGCAAATAAATTATGCCTACTAAGCGATCATTTAATATGTATTTATTTATGCATTTCTAGTACATATAAATGGATTACTTTGCAATATTAATAGTAATATTACTACA